CCTTATTATTGTGAGCTGTTCGTGACACCTCAGGCCGTATACAGACTCTGCCTTGACGAACGTCTTGTCGTCTGAGCCAATCATCCCAATAAGTCAACGGCCATTTCGCAGATAACTCTCTCCATAAATCGACTGTCAATTCCCATCCTTAAATAAAGTAATCGTAATAAAACACCACAGTAATTCATTCATAATTATCGCCCATGCGCACTGAACGCATTCAAGTGACCAAACGCACCAACTATTTAACTGAATGATAATTTGACTGCAAATACAATATTAGTTCAACAAGTTCAGTGTGAATCAATTATCATTAATAATAATATCTTACCAAGTCCAGGAAAGAAATCTGTCCGATAAAGAATGTCACTTCGAGACCTGTCCGTAATATTGTTACCGCCATTATCATTCCATGCACTAATGCACCATATCGTTGGATCACTCCTCAGCAAATATCTTGTCGCCGAGAAATACGAGAAGAAATCCTCAGCAATATCCAAATCATCTGCAAAAAAGCATCGAATATACTCCAAACCATGAACATTTACGAAGAATGTAATCCAGTAACGCAGTGAAATGGAGGGGTCAATTGATAAACGAACGAAACACGATCAATGACAACAACAACAAAAAATTCAGCAACAATAACCTTCAGTGATAATGGCCGTATCATAATTCATTTCGAAAAAAATCTTATCAAGTGCCCATTTATAATGTTGTGCAATGAAAAAATAATTTTTCGCTTTTTTTGCCGCTTCATTATTTTGAGCTTTGCGTTCAGTGTGCTGAAAGAACAACACATATGAACCACATTTGACACTGCTTTTCCAATTTAACCAAGTCACGTCCCAGTAACGCAATTAAAACCGCTGCTATATCCGTGAGGTGCGTAATCTCAATAATCGTTTTGATCAAATTCTATGCCATCTCAATCACTTACAGCTGGTTGATATCATTTGACAGACAATAGAATAGTTTGATTTGATATAACAAAACAGTAACGAACGAACTACAATCAGCGATATTCTGCCGAAGAGATAATCAATTGAAAAAAGCGGTATTTGCAAAATTTTTTTAAAAACTGCAAGAAAATTCTGCGAAAAAGTCGAAGATTGTAACGTCGAAATAGAAAGAAATGAAACCTGAATAAAATGGATATGCTCGGTCTCATTGACAAATTCTTTGATCACGTTCGTTACGGAACTGAGTGTTCCGTCTTGACTTACAACAATTGGGAATGCTTTTGAAGATGGACGTAACCTTAAACGTTACAATCAATAAAACGATCAAAACAGCAACTGAAATATATATTGTGAATTTGACTTCAAAATTTGCCTTCAATATAATCTGCATACCATCGACATGAGAGTCGCTTTTCGAAATGAATTCAACTTCAACCATCAATAACAATTCATAATGGGTTTCGGTACAATTACTAAGACTGTATGACAAGAGATTTGAAATAAGAATGAACGACTAATATTAAATTCATAATCAATTCCCTAATGCTAATAATAACAGACAGCTACAACTAATCCTCTCTAAAAAATAATTCAAAAATAACCTAATCAATTGCTGAAGATGATTTTTGATAGCAGCTGGTCGTATGGCACATATCACTAACACTACTGTCACTGGCTGATCATCGGTTACCGTGTTCGATCCAGATGAAAGCTCTGATTGCTTCAAATAAAATTTCGATAGATTCAAACAAACTTTGAATGACTGCGAAATTCTGTTATTCAAACAATGAAGTTGTTCAACATTTTACTTACTGTTCCTTTCAAAATTTTTGATAAGTTTCTTCTACTGAATTCTCTCCAATAACCTCAATCAGTTTACTTTCACTTCATTTCAACTCGACATTTTTAGGTTCTTTGAGAGCCGCTAGACGTGAATTTGAGCGTCCAATATGCAAATGATTCTTCTCTATCGCATAAATATCTGTCTTATCAATAACAACCAACAAATACTATATCCATTCTTATTCAATAAAAAACCGACCTGTTTAGTAAATCTGACACCATTTTTTGGATGTTTCAGTCGTTTGACATCTCCGTTATCAGCATCAACAACTTGTGGCACCACTACCACATTGTCACTTTCTAATATTTTGCGATCATTCATCTAAAAAAGCGACGGTAATCTTTTGATCAAACAATGTCGAAAAAAAATAAAGAAAAGAATTTATAGACAAGGAAAACCGAGTTCTTTAATGTTCTTTAACGAAACTGCAGTTCTTTAATGAAGAAACAAGCTACTCGTAAAGCTTTAATGTACTTGTTTAGTCTGGATAAAACCGTACACAAGACTTCCAAGAAGCTGAACTACCCCACAGGGCGACTTAGACAATAACATCACTGAAATGGGCAATCAACTGACCTGTGGTTTCTCATCAACAGATGAAAAAAGTGGACCTTGATGCAACAAAAGGAAAACAACGGCCGTTAACGAACAGACTGCTATGAGTTGTCGAGTTCTCACCGAACCTCAAAAAAATTATGATTAGAACAATTACAATTTCAACATAGCACATTCCGTGCTCAAATTCATATAAAAACAGAATGACTGTGTTGATAAGGTTTTTAAAGTGATCACTGGCATACAGGAGGAACATAACAATTTTGAATGGAAGATATAATTTGATTTATAATAACATCGAACGAATACAATAACCCTTACGTTGTCCCAACAATAATTGAACAAATTTGCGGACGAATGGCTGAACATGGTGATAGACGAGAACAAAGCAGCGCAGCGAAAATACGAATAAGACTTGAAGACATTCTTGACAGGTTCGCACAAAAACTTCCCCCATCATAACAGAAAACACACCGCGACGGTGCAAAACAATAAAGCTAAACTGACTGATGAATTTGAAAATGAAGTCAAACTTTAGACTGATCTGATTTACATAATATTTATAAATCAACTACCAGAAGTTCTGCAAAGAAAATATATGAAATTTCTCCGATTCCTCATTTTCCTCACGATCACAGCTGTAACGAGCAACACGTGGCACTGCTAATGATAAGTTTACTTAAGCAAATTTGAATAGGATGGGCTTATTCAAAATTGTTATGTTCCAGTCATGAGCATGCACGTCATTAAAAGGAAATAACAAATAGGAGAACTGGAGATAGAGTTATCAAATGGATCGAGGAATAACAAAACCGAAAAAAAAATCGATGAACTAACCACATAATCGTCTACGTAACTTGGTGGGTACCAGAGAAAAGATTTTCATCGCGAATATGGATTGAGAATGCAGCCGCGGTATTTGGTGATGCGGTGCTTGATTGAGCTGTGTCACAACGAGGTCGATGTAATCACCTGATAACGACTTATCATATCTGCAAACTCAAATGACATGAACAAAATGAAACAACAAATAATCAGTGATCACATTTAACATTGTGATCNTGATTTCAACCATTTTAAAGCTTCGCATAGAGATCAAGAATTAACAAATGAAGATCATCAAAAACAGTCACACCACTGCTACTACTGTTTAAGAATATCAGCGACAAAACATAAGGAAATTGGTAGTATCAAATGTGCAGAAAATCGCTCCTCTGCAAAATTGAATCAATTCAGGGTCTACAGGCGTTGTTGAAGGCTTCCTCGTATGGAAGGAGGTGGACCCCAGATAGGTGAAATGATTCCCTCCTAAGTGTTAGAAGATTTATGCGAATGAAAAAGAGGGATTCGTCGATGATGGCAGTAATCAAGAAAAGTTTTGCGGAAACCAGTTTTTACCGAGGGGAAAACGAATTCCCATAGAAAACGAAAGAACAGGAAGAGATTCCCCCAGAAGAAAAAATCCCCAAATGGGATGAACCCGCCTCACTGCGCACGCAGTCGGAAGCATATCGTCATTTGAGGCCACACCTCTAAAGATCACTGGGCTCAGAGAAGTGACGACCAGCCTTACTGATCAACATTGGCATCGTTGAATCCCAAATGTACAAAGGAAATATTATTCCTCTTATCAACCTTACAATTAACAGAGGCATATGTGTTTCCACAAGACTCAGTGAAAGAGAGAAAACAAGAATGCCCCCTGACGGTTGAGATAATTTACGCATATACACTGGCGTGATTAATGCCGATGGTCATTAGATGCAGCTGCTGGATTTTAATAATCGAAATTCTCTGCCATCATTTCAAGTTCGAAAACTCGAATGGACCAGTAAAATGCCAGAGATTAGATGTAGTCGAAAGGAATTGTGGAATACATCAACAGTCACGCTACTCAAAATATCAAACTAATATTGCAATGATGGTGAATGTAACAAATAAAATAGATGGGCATGATGAAGCTACGGCGTGGCAGCTTGAATGCTATCATTAAATAATCGGCGTGGCAGCTTGAATGCTATCATTTAATAATATCATCTCAATATGTACATATGGCGTCCACATCTTAAGCAAACAAAATTCTTTGTTAGAAAATCAAAAGAGAGCATTCGCAACAAATTATTCTTCCGATCCGTTGAATATGATTGCTTTCAGTCGAATTGCTAATGTTTTTCTCAAGAGCGAACGAAATATGAATCCATCAGAATCGAAGCATCTCACGGTTTGAATAAAGCCTAGAATAAAGGTTCCTAGTTTGACGGGGCATAAATCAAAATGTAGCGGATAGGAAATGAGCAAGCGATATAGAAAGGAAGAGCGATAGCAGCAGGCTTGTGTATGTTTATGTGAGTTGTTTTGCAGGAGTGCGAAACACCCAGCCANCCAGCCACACGCACAACTGTATTTGCGAATTGATGATGGCAGTGGAATGCAGGCAGATGTGTTGATAGGGCAGTTACATGCAAGAGAAATGCCATAAAACTTGCTTGCCGCTATCATTAATTAATGTCTAATGACACAAACCAACACGAGCATTTTCAATTCAAAACATGATTATTCAATTCATTTGATTTGCAACAGTGCTGAAACACACTCATTTCCATATTACATTCATGAACATGAATGAGCCTCTAACAACATCATTATGTCAGATGTCATTCATGCATCCATTTTTAACGAATGCTCTATGCGATGGATTACTTCACATTAATATATAATGAGTGCCGTTAATTTTGTCACTCGTTCTATAATGTCCATAGGAGTTTGTATATGAACTTAATGAATGTATGAACTTGTTCATTCGTTTGGATTCTATAACACATCGATACGACCACAAGTGTGCACACACGCAATATTTTCATATCTGAAATGAACCATGCAAATTTGCTGGAAAGGAAACAAAGAATGAAAATAAATAATACTGTATTGTTACTTTGCGACAGAGATCATTTACGAGAGCATAATACACAATAACATGAACTCATAACTACTCATACGAGAGTTAAGCGCATTTCATTAGTGCTACGCATTCTTGCGACTGAATCCCTACGTCTAGGAAAGGAATGCTTAAGAAAGCGTAGAAGTGATTCCTTTTCTGAGATGCAGATGACTTCTGTAGATATAGGCGGCATCTCATCATCAACTTTCATATGATTGAAACGGAATCTCAGTGAAATTTGAACACATTTATATGTAAACAACTCTCGATGAGTTTTCGCTTTCAAACCGTACGGATTCTAGTGGAACGTAAATTTTATCTTCAATTACACCAAGCAACGAATTTCAATTTTTTTCCCCGTTACTCACAAGTGATCTACTGATTCTTATGAACTTGATGATACTGATTTTTGGTCTGTTTCACAAATATCTCCTACCATGTCCACATTAATTGTGACCAAAAACCCCTATTCTTCATTTTTTCCTCACCTGTTTATGTTACAGAAGTACTCTAAATTCTTTTTATGTGACGTTTCATGTTAAGCATACTGGAATAACTATCTAACGATTGGACGCACCCTTGCGGATGTGATTCAGTGAAAACTGCAGCGTTTAGCTTACGGTTAGCTTTTGACAATGTCCCTTTTGGAAACCAATACTACCTTGATGATGCATACCGTTCACAAGGCCACGCTTCATGTGATGAGGTGAAAGATTTACTCTGTGGGGGTCGATAGGTGCTACAGGCAAATTTCATCACAGTTGTCACGTTTCTAGTTGTCGTTTGGATGTACACTATCCGCAAACACAGCAAAAGTTATCTGCATTACTTACACAAGTCATTTGAATGCCACTTGAACCATGATTCAAATTATCGGTAGGAAAGGAAAACAAAACATTTGTTTGGATGTACAGAAGTATAGACGTAGTTCAAAAATTGCTATAAACTTATGACAATTCCTCCGTTTGCGCTTCACACAAAATGAAAACATGATGCAATGAATAAAATTGTTGATTTCAAGGCAGCAGCATGCTAAAATTAGCTGGTAATGGCTCATCTGCAATAAAATCCCTGCTGCCTTGTGTTATGCAAAGTGACCAACCACGTTTTCACAACAATTTTCTTTCATTGATGGGAAAGCTCATCTCTTTCATCGATTCTTTCAACGAGAACACCGAGAAGTGTTCAAGCTTCAGATATTTTCACACCACCTGGAAGAGCATTATCAAATATGAATGGATACCAATGAATTCCACGATTATTTTCAAACTTCATGTTGTTGAAATACACTTTGATTGAAACACTGGCGCAGATCGCGATTGACGTCAGCATGCTTATTTGTCAATGATTAAAGAAAAATTATTCGAGCCTTTAGAACAGTGGTTCTCACGTCCGGTGCTCCATTACCCCTTTTGATGATCTGTCACCGTTACCCACCACTATCCCCCACCCCTCCCACTCCTTAAATATGGAAATCGCACATGTTATGTTCAGATGACCATTAGGTTCAATTTTGTTAGCACGTCCATGATGGTAATTGACATCGTTGGGCCTTCTCTTAGACTGTTACGTTGCTCATTATTGCAATCGAATATGATTGCATGACAAGTTATTGTCTACGACACGCTCGATTCAAACTCATTTACTATTAGATGAATTCTCATTCTTTTCAGANTGGATACGTTGACGAGTGTTGACAGCCGAAATCAACAATACAGCAATCGAATTCTACTGCTCAACAACGTTCGACAGTCAAATGATCAATTATAGAGTGTATTTGATAGAATGAGAATTTGACGTTAATTGTTAAGTGAAATGAACGAGAAATTATCAGAAGAGAATACTTTCGGTGATAAAAGCTATGAGAGTGATTATAGCAGCAATGAAAAGAATGAAAACCCTGTTAGATCCGGAGAAGCAAATGATACTCAGAAAACATGAGAATGAAGAGTGTTGCCATCACTTTTAACACCATCACAATGACGTTATATTATAACATAACTACATGAAATACTATTTTTCCGACTCCCTCCATTATCCCTTGACAACTCAAAATTGCCCAAAATGGGTAATTTCATCCCCTATGAGAACCACTGCTTTGAAATCTATCTAACGATTACATATAACTACATGTACAGCACACTTTACTGATTCTACGAATACATACTTTACAGAAGTAACAACAAAACCGCGCAAGCATTCCTTACTGATGGCTCGTTCAGCTCACGATCCAACTTGAACCATACATATACAGCTTCCTTCCGAAAATCTCACACTCAGACTTCATTTGATAAATTTTCCGAAAAAAATAATCCTCCTAATTGTGCATTTCCAAAAGTTCATCGTAAATAAGTGTATTTTTAACATTACTTCGATATATAAGTTCACATAAGTTGTTAAGCTCCATCAGTGAATGCTCACTGATTGAACTTATCGAAGCGAGATGCTCAGTGAATAGCCACCTAGATTGACTGAATGCTCAGTCAATCAAGGTAGCTATTCGGAATACTCTGAACGATACAAAGCTGTACAATATAATGTTTCGTATTATTGTTTGATTATTTAGTTTTACAGGTCTTGTTTTAATGACGAGTGAAGACGTTCGTAATGTATCGACTATGAATTATTCTTTTAATATGAGCGTAATGCGTTTTGAGATTGTTCTCAGCAGAACATTATCATCTTATACTCAATATGAGATGCGTATTCGATTTCGTCAATGAACTTTCAGAACAAAAAAAAANAAAAAAAAACAAGCATTAGTAACTTACGGTTTTGGTGAATATCTCATTGAATCGTTCCAACAATAATTGTCCCTTAAGGAGGCAACCGATACTCAGTGAATAACCCTTAACGATTGCGGATAAGATTAAGTGTTATTTTGTGCTCGGCAAATCGCTAGTGCGTACGAATAATAACGGGTGAATAATAATCGAATGAAATATGATAAGAGCTGAAGCTGGCGTATCATATCATTCGTCGATAGCAATCACTGTTGCACGCAAAGTGTAAACATACGATCATGTTGTACTATCACTATATTAGATTATGCT